AGGTAAAAAGAAAGGGCAACCAATCACTTGGTCAGCTGAAGCTGAAGAAGCCTTCATAAAAATCAAAAGTGCTCTAGTCTCTTCCCCCATCCTATGTTCACCTGATTTTGACAAACAGTTTATCATTTCTTGCGATGCTAGTGATTATGGTATTGGTGGAGTATTGACACAAGAAATAGATGGTCACGAAAAAGTTATTGCTTATGCTTCACGCACTTTATCTCGTACTGAACGAAATTATACAGTCTCTGAGAGAGAACTTTTGAGTTTAATATTTTTAATAGATAAATTTCGTCCTTATATTGAAGGTACCGAATTTAAAGTTTTCACAGATCATAGTAGCCTTTTATGGTTGAATAATTTAAAGGACCCGTGTGGCAGACTTGCTCGGTGGGCTGTCAAATTACGACAACATAATTTTGAATTATTGTATCGAAAAGGTTCAACAAACGTCCTTCCAGATTTTCTCTCACGAATTCCTCCAAAAGATCCTCCTGATGTTCCAGAGATGGAGATAAATTTGATCAATATTTCAGCTGATAGTGCTGACAAATGGTATAATTCACTTTGTGAGAAGGTGATCAATGATCCAAATTCATATCCTCAATGGAAAGTCGAGGAAAATATTTTGTGGAAATATGTTCCATCTAAAATTCCTATTGAAACTAACGAATCTGAATGGAAAATAGTTGTTCCAAAGTCTCAGCGATCTGACGTCATCCGAGACAATCATGATCCACCTACTTGTTCACATTTTGGTGTTTATAAAACCTTTTTACGCGTTCAACAGAACTATTACTGGCCTAAGATGTTAATTGATATTAAAAAGTATGTTCGTTCCTGCAAAATATGTCAGTCACAAAAGATAGCTAATACCTCACGTATGGGCCTGATGGGTCGTGAGAAGCAGGTCAAATTTCCTTTTCAAACTATTGCAATAGACCTAATGGGACCTTTTCCCAGGTCACCACGAGGCTTCACTTACTTACTAGTAGTAGCAGACTGGTTCTCAAAGTATACTCTTTTATGCCCACTTCGTGATGCAAAAGCACCAGGTATTGTGAAATTTTTGGAAAACCAAGTATTTTTAGTTTATGGGGTTCCCCAATTCATTATCACCGATAATGCTACTTATTTTGCTGGGAAGGTATTGAAAAAACTTACTGACTCTTATAAAGTAAAAATCTGGTTTACTCCACGTTATGCAGCCCAGTGTAATTTTGTTGAGCGAAATAATAAGACAATTGGTCAAGCTATTCGAAGCTATATAGATGAACACAAAGATTGGGATAAAGAATTATCAAAAATACAGTTAGCCATTAATACGTCAGTTCATGAAGTGCATAAATATTCACCTGCATTTTTAGTATTTGCTCGAAATATTCCTCAGTCTGGAAACTTTTATGGAAACAATTCTAGCACAAGTGATTTTGAATTAAACCCTCAGGACAGGGATGAATATGTAGAAAATATTACAGGTTTGAGTACAATTTTTGAAGATGTAAAAAATAAATTACATAAAGCCTATCAGAGAAATTCACAAGCATACAATTTAAGAAAAAGAGATATTTCATTTAATAATGGTGACAAGGTTTGGCGCAGAAATAAAATTCTTTCTGAAGCAGCAGCAAAATTTAGCGCAAAACTAGCCCCCAAATATATTTTGAGTATAGTGAGAAATAGAGTTTCTCGTTTAGTATATTCTCTAGAGAATATTAATGGAAGTCCAGCAGGAGACTGGCATATTAAGGATCTTAAGCCTTATTTTGGATCCAATTCCGATATTTCGGTTGGTTAAGTTTTTTGTTTGATTGAATTTTGTGGAAAATACACAGATTCAATATTACTTGAAAGATATAAAATGTACATTTGCCTGCAGACACTGCAGTTGATAATTTCTGGAAAAAAGATTGATATCAATCCCCAAAACATTCTTTGAGCCCTTGAGAATTACCCTGATTTCAATTTGATGTGATTCATTTTGAAACTTGAAAGCTTTCAAAAGTACTTACCATTTTTCAATTCCTCCCCACAGTTTAGAATTTGAGGAAATAAATTCTACTGTCCAAGTTTGAAATGAGAATTTCTTCAACCCCCAAATTGATACTAGACAAGTTTCAGTATTTGTCCTTAGTATTTAGCAATAAAGTTTTGATTTTTGTCCTTCTGGTCACTGACGAGTGATCAGGATTTCAAAGAAACCCCAAGTGTAAATAGTTCAATTAGATACATATTTTTAGAAGTTCTAAAGCATAGAACATCTTCCAGTTCAGATTTTGAGAGACATATCGAATTTGACCTTCTCCTGATGTATGACCTTTCCCAATCTAGACTTACCGATTATGAGTTCCAAATGGATGTATGGTACGCATAGTTACTACCTCAAATTTTAGAGCTGAACAACAGGATAGTTAGTTTTTGTATTATAAAATAGATCTTGTAAGATCCATTTTTTTTTTGGAGAGGGGTGATGTAGCATTTAAAATTTCAGTACATACTTTCAAATTTTTTTAATTTATAGTATTGATACACCCTGTATCATATCCAGATTATCATATCACTCCATTACGTTGACATAACCAAATCTTGAAGTAGTTGCATACCAGAGTAGTTATTCATGCATAAATATTTTTTATAAATAACAAAAGTTCAAGTATACTTGTCATTTATTTAACTCAAATGTCAGATTCAGTCACAAATCTTAGCTACACTTTAATTTCAGTATATCGAGCAGATAATCACATTGTAAACATGAAGTTGCTTGATAGTCGCCTCTATTATGTAGTACCTAAAAAAGAAAAGAATAGTTCATTAGGAATACTTGAAACTTGTCACTAGTATACTCAACAAATTATTCACTTTTCTTACTGGCTCGATGATCAACAGGTAGTAGATGATGTTCCAACTCGATTCCAATCAATAATGCAATCAATAAAAATCAATAAAATGCTCCTAGAGTATATTCTCTTATAGGTTTTGCCTGAAAGAAATAAACACCTGTTGTTTACAAACTGAATATAGGTTATTCCCAAATACATTACCTTAATCATCATAGTAGTCTTCTGATGTATGTTTGAGGTCTGAATCTTGATATAGATCGGCTGGATATAAAATACAGTGGTATTTTTTTGTAAATAAATAGAAATTGCATACTTATTATTTTTCGGTTATGTAATTTGATTACTGACAATATTGACATCCATGTCAAGTAATTTCATTTACTTGTCACTTGTATATAGCTAACACATCAATGTCATGTGCCAAGTCACATCGGACCTCCTGTCACAAGCATGGAGAGTAGGAGAGTAGCTTCCAGTGAACTTAACTTCCAACGTTGCCAGTTGTTTTAAGAATCGGTATGTTACCGAAAAGTCATGCTTGGAGGGTAGGCCTGAGATAGATCCACTCTGATTGGGTGTTCCACAAATATCAATGTCAAGGTTGTCGAATTTAGGTCAGATTTGACACTTCCGGCTGTCGTGCTTCGGTTTTGAGAGATGACGATATCCAATTTCCGGGAATGGTCACTTCTTGGTGGGCTCTGGATGAGTGAAGTCGTATGTAGATAGGTGAAGTGAGTTGCTGTGGGGTTTCGCTGGTTTTATCCAGGATTTTTGGAGGCATCACCCATGGTTTCCACCAAATGACACCACTCAACTACCTAGAGAGTCGTTGGCGTTCTGGAAGCAGGAGTATTCAAGGTTCGTCCAGGATTCGGGAACACATCGTGCCGGCCATTTTCGTAACAACCCTTTTTGAAAAAGGGTCCTACGCTGGGATTTGTAAACCAGGATTTTTTTGTTGGGATTTTGTATGCTGGGATCTTAGCCCCATGAGGTCAACTTCCTGTGCTGGGGATCCTCAAGCGATTTCTTCTCTCGATGGTCATCAATCTACCATCTATCCTTGCCACTATGTCCATGTCGTGCAGAGGCAGGTGCCTCAATACTTCTTGGCTGCCTATGGAGCAACCAAGCCTGGGAGCTCTTCCAATTTCGTCCGGACCATCAGGATGCAGTTAGGTTCTGCAAGCAGCCTGAACAGACAGCAGCCATTTTTGTAGGCTGACTTCAAGGCACTCCTCCATTTCCCCATGGTGATGCAGCTGGTTGCAGCTGTGCAGCGAGAAGGATCCTAATCAGGCCAGAATGTTTATTTTTTTATTTTATACATTTTTGGGATATATTTCATCTTCAATATTTCTGACATGATATATTCAACATATTTCCTTTGAAGTTCTGTAAATCGAACCCAACACATAGTACTATGCGGTGGTAAAGATAAATACTTGCCTAGATTATTTACCTTCATGGAGTTTAAGTATGAATCTCTTAAGACAAATTTCTAGTAGAAAAGAGATTTGAAATACCATTTTTCACAATACAGATATATTGAAGTTTTTTTGCAACATATACATATATGATTTAGTTTACTTTATAATATTCACCTGTTGTGATCTTATCTCGACAATTTGGTTATCTCCATTCATTCCACCCCTGCGCCACCATGGAGTAATAATAAATGTTGTTTTTTGTGTATGTATGCATTTTATTTATTTGTTGAATTTGTTCACTCTGCTCTCATACTTCATAACATCATACCTACATTTTTCTGATAAGCTGGAATAACATCATTTGCATAATTGTTTGGTTGCACAACTACCCAAATAATAAAAATCTTCTTGTTTAAAAGTTGCTGTGGCGCCCCTCCTTTTTTATTGAGATAATCTAAATGAATATTATGTCCTTTATTAATTTCTTTTGAAACGAACCCATAGTGCCTACTGATGAAAAGCTGCCGTTTGCAAGTGCTGATTATTTTTTTTATAAAAATAAGGTCACAATGTATATTCTCCAATGGAATTCTTTGATCCATCATGAGAAGTTGAAGGAACATTTTCATGATATCGACCAAAAATCATCTTCAAGATCGACCTTCAGGTTCTCTTAGGATCCATCTGACAACCTTCATTCATGCAACATTTTCTTTCCAGTTGCATTTTATGTAGCAGACTTTTCAACTGAAATAACTGCTCCTAAATTGAGGATACCCTGCAGGCGCGTGCCTAGGGTAATTTCATGGGGGGGGTAATCACCCATTTCTGGACCGAAAGTGTCGAAATCCTGAAAATAGTTAAAACAGTAAGTAATTATACCTACTCAGTACTCACTACTAAAATCATTATTCGGTTCCGGTATGTCGCGCCCAATGCTACAAACCTACAAAGTTAAAAATCTCACCTTCTTGTTCTGAACAACGATAACACTCATAAATTTTATTCCATATAAGAATAGATAAAAATGATGCACCCTAGCATAGCCAACAAAACACAATGAACGACGAACTTATTTCGGCGTATTCCCGACTATTTCATTTCAAGTATATAATGTATTTACATAAGCACCTGCTTCGTGAATTCGGCCGTCGTTGTGTCGGCGAACAATAACAAATAAAAACCCAGTTCACTTTACACTCAACTCCATAATGCGCCACCCTGATTGCGAAATTTATAATTTAATGTTGTGACTAGAAGCCTGAAGACTAGAAGACAGGTGTGAAAGCCCATCGTTGTGTCTTCATCATCATCATTTTTTAAGTTTGAAAATAAGGAATGTTCAAATTTTTTCATCATCATCGTGGTCATGGGGGGGGGTAATTACCCCATTACCCCCCCCTCAGGCACGCGCCTGATACCCTGTACACCCTACGATACTATGTGGCCCATTAATGTGCCGTACGATTTCGCAGGATCGCTTCTGGCAATTTCTCGCCTTAATACCGAAATTTATATCCCCGTCATATTTACACTAGTCAGGGCAACACTCGGTGGCATTAATCAGAAACTAATCCTCGAGAAGCTCCCCTGATGCGTACTTGTGGCTCGGTATCCGAGACACTGATAAGTACCATGTAAACTGAGAAGTTTTCACGGACCTAGCGATTTTTTGAGCCGTTTGGCAGGTCATTTCTCTGTTTCGTTAGTGTCTGCATCAGTAGGTGTTTATGATAATGAAGGTACCTATCGTTTATATTTCTTCAAATAATGGGTCTGTTTCAGTGAAAACTTGTTTTTCTACAAACGCTTAACAAAGTAGCCTTTGACGCTTTCAAATTCCCGCACAAAGTTGACGTTTTCCCAGAAATGTCATTCTTTGACAGCATTTGCGCTTGTGAGCGAAAATATTGAAAAAACGCTCGCTGATCTCTGTAACCCATACTTATCTATTATTGAAAACCCCCAATTCTTTCATGATGGAAAATAGTGACAGTGAATCATCAAACACACCTCCTTCCTGATGATATAGCAGAAAGCGCAAGAGTTTGAATCTCTTACCGGAGAAATCAAGGAAGAAATATGAATTACAATATGATACATTCATAAGTTGGTGTCACTCCGAGATGGTGAATATGTGTTCAAAAAACGTTCTACTGGCTTATTTTGGTAAAAAATCAAAGACTCCGAAGTCATGAACTCATTGGTCTATATATTCGATGATACGTACATGCTTGAATCTTGAAGATAATATCGGAATCAATAAGTATCTGAAACTTATCGCATTTCTCAAGAAACAATCTATTGGATATAAAGCGAGAAAAATTCAAAACATTCACCGCTGAAGATATATACCAACTAATTTCTACAAGAAGCTCCCGATGAAGCATATCTGTTGAAAACGATGGATTATACTTTATATTTAAACTCTTTGTTGTCATCAGAAATACAGTGTATCTTTATTTTATTGCATCAATGAGTAATGTTCGATTTGATTGATGCAGAGTTCATCATACTATGGCTCAGAGGTCTGAAGCTCAGGTTGCCACGCTAGTGGTCCAGTTTCAATTCTCGGTAGGCCCGACATTTTTTTTCTGGCTTTTCAGTTATTTAATTTTTTTTGTTTCCTTTGGACATATGGGATAATATGGATAAGAACTTTTTTCAACTATTTCAATCGCTCATACTTTCAGGGTAGTTATTTCCAAAAGCTGCGTAAGTAGAAATAATCTTGTGTCTATTTCGAGCACAAAGTGTTATTGCCACTCTCCAAAGATTACCGCGCTCCGCTCCGCATCGCGCGGTAACTTTCTTTGTCGAGCGTCAATCTATCACTTTGTGCTCTAAATACACAAATAGCTATTTTATCCACAACTATGCGGAGTCATTCATACATTGCTTACTCGATTTTCAACATTCAATGACAGACATTATCGTGATGTATCGAGTAGTAAGAGTAATAATGACAGTAGGATGGCGTAATAATCTGACATCCCATCGTCTTGTCAAATTCAACTAGGTAGGTATTCGTTCTACTAGTTCTACTAAAGCACACCATTATACTACTGTTTGTTAAATACACGCAAATTCAAAAGACTCACCTTACATGGTTCTCATAGTTTTAATCACCTTAATTCTACAAATACACGAAAAAATGAGAATTCACTGTTTTTCATTCTCAACAGTGACTACCATCATGAGTAACCATAACCATAAAATAGGACTTGACACTTGACAGTTGCAGATTGGCTCACACTTATGTGCGGGCTATTCGAATAGATTAGTACAGACCAATCAGAACCATGAAACTTCATTATTGATAACTAGCGTCTAGAGACAGGGTACTGCAATTAATCTTTGATCTTTGATCTTAGTGATTTTGCAATATAATAACCTTCATTATTTCCAAAGATATATTTCTGAACTCTGAGTTGCTTTGATATTTGAATAGTACCTATAGTATTTCTACTCGCACATAATGACTATCACCCACTCAGATGATTACAGAATAGATGTCGCTGTACGAATTTGCTTTGAAATGGAAATAGGAATTCAATTATCAGAATTTTAAACACTATCAAAAATAAGCTTACACCATTTCTGTGTTTTTTTTGTCGTGATTGTTGATATTTGGTCCGATGGCCATTAGAAATATGACGATATCAGCACCTCTTACGGATTTTCTATGAACAAGAACCTTATAAGTGTCGTCAGTTTTTGACCAAGGTAACCATGACAACCACAGTCTTACGAACATTTTGGCATACGAATCGTGCTTTTTGCGCTATTCATTAATTCGACATGCCTTCGCATTGTGATGTTGTACAATGCACAAAAAATGCAGCAAGAGACTAAAGAATATGATTTTTCAGGTGAATAGTGATCTCACATAGTTATCATTATGAAATGTTGTCATTCCTTATTAAAATTTCTTCTGCCTTCTGTCACTTCTGCAATACAAGCTAATACTGCTAATAGATTGAAAATGTCTACAACACACACGATCGTCAGCATGTAAGACCAGTCCTCCCGATTGATTGCATGAATCCAATTTTCTGGCATTATTTTAGAAATTTCAGATGTATTTCTATTAGCTTCTATCGCAGAAAGAATTCCGATGAGAAATCAGAGAAATTACCAAATTTCAAAAATGAAAACTATATGTGAGTGACTATAGTAGGTACTTACTTTTGAATCATAATGTACCAACCGGATTACTTCGTCTTCCGCTGCAGTTTTTGTGCATTTCACAACAGCATAATGTGATGGCATGAGCGAATTGATGAATAGCGGAAAAATACGATTCGTATGCCAAAATAATTGTGAAAAACTATTTCAATCACTCGTAAACAAATAAGTAAAGTGATTTTTGTGCTTCAATATTTTGCCTCCAGTGTCGGTCATCTAACAGTTCTTGCACGCAACCCATATATGTAAAAATGTGAGGTTAGAAATAATTTGATTATGTCAGAATGAAAACGTCGAATAGAACAAAAACTCTCTTGTCATATATTCTTGCAGAAGATAGGCATTAAAAACAATGTAAATGTATTGAACAACATTGGTTTATTCATAAGATGTTTCTGGATTTATGCAAAATATTAAAATGGCACAATAGTTGAAGTGCTGTTCCCTCTACTTTCGGGAAGAAAAGACATAAAACATTAAAAATTGACATGAAATGGAAATGATGACTGACAGTGACCACGGAACTATTCAAAATAATGACAAGCCAGACAGAAGCAATAATGAAATGTGTGACGTAAATTGTTGTCAAACAAGGAGTAACTGAAAATTAAGTTAATAAATTACAATTTTGAATGAGTTGTTGTATGAATAATAAATTGAATTGTATACTATAGCCTGAGTCGTACTCATTAATATTGATTATAAAACAACAAGTTCCGCTCACCATAAACGACTATCTGCGATGCAGCCGCCGTCCTCTTCGCTGCGATGTTCTCAGCCACGCACGTGTAGTTCCCCGTGTCCTGAGGCCGGGCCTGCCCTATCAACAGGTGCCCCTCGCTGGTCACCAGCACGTCCGTGTCCGACTGCAGCATCTGGCCGCCCCTGAGCCAGTAGACCCTGGGAGGCGGCATGCCGGTCGGCGGGACGCATTTCAGGTCGACCTGGTGGCCGATCTCCACCAGGTGCGTCGATTCGGGGTTCACCTCGAACTGCTTCTTCAGGTCTGCAAGGAAATGGATATTTAATAGCACCTGGAGTGTTTTCATGTGTGGATACAGTTTAATTTTTTTGATGATCTAGTTCCCACGAAAAGGGATATCCTGTAATGTTCAGAGAACATCGTGAGAACCAAGGGACATAAGATAGGAATTGGTGTTCTCCTTAAATTTCTGAAGGTTATATGCCTCGGGGAACACCTCCCTTGGCAATGTGTTCCAGAGCCTCGCTGTTCGTTGGATGAACCAGTCATTGGGAAGAGATGTTCTGCAGGTCTCCAAAGTGACCACGAAGGGATGCGAAGCCTCAACTCGACGGGTTAATCTCGCGGGGACTGACAAGGGCAGAACAATTGTTGATATTCCAGAAGAACATCATGGTCCATGAAAATATCTATAAAATAGAGCCAGATCGCCAACTTTTCTACGGTGTTCCAGAGAAGTGAGTGAGTTTGTGAGCCAGGCATCACCCACGAGACGAATTGCCCTTTTTTGGACAGAATCCAACAGTTTCAGGGTATGTTTGGGTGTTGCACTCCAAATATGGGAACAGTATTCCAGGACAGGTCGGATCTGTGCCTTATAGATCATAAGCAGCTGGCTGGAAGTGAAATAGGTCCTGGCCCGAAACAGAAAACCAGGTTTTTGGGATACACTTTTAGCAGTAGTTGATCTCACGTGATTATCCTAAGAAAGGTTATTGCTGATAGTAATACCAAGCATCGAAATGGATGACTTCAGAGGTATGGTTACTCCTGACAAGTTTATGTTGGGCACAGTGAGATCGGCTTTTCTAGAGAAAAGGCATGCTTGTGTTTTGTTTGCATTGAAATCTACCAAGTTATTGGATCCCCATTCGAGAATTGTTGCCAAGTCCATATTAATGATGTCAACATTTCTCCCTCGTTCGTTTATGATTTGCCTGGCTGGTATTGGAGCCCTGGAAGAGAAGGCGGTATGGAGGGTACTATCATCCGCGAAGCTATGTACTGGACATGAAGTTGCTTCCAACAAATCGTTGATATGGAGTAGAAATAGTGTTGGTGCTAGAATTGATCCTTGCGGAACACCAGCATTTATGATAAAAGAGTCAGATGAAACTCCGTCGACCACTACATGGAGAGGCCTGTTTGAGAAAAAACTAGCCAGCTAACTACAAAAATTATTAAAAATTGTCAGAAATGCTTTCTTTAGTATCATAACTCCAGGAAGATATCTTTTTTTTTCATAAAAGCCTAATGGGTGTTGTTCAATTATTCATTTTACTGTCTTGCATTCATACGATCGACGATAATTTTCTGTTCTCTCCGCATGCTACCAACCGATAATCTAAATTGGTTTTGTTTACATGGCAATGCCGTAGAAACCTTTCAGTTTACCAACGTTTAGATCTAATATCAGCAATTAACATGAGAGAGGAAAGTTATAGAGCCGTTTCCAGATACGTTTTATCGATACATTTAATCTACTCGTAATCTTCAAAGGCGTTTTTCCAACAGGGAAGCAGCGGCGTACACTATATTGTGCGAGGGATGTTTTCACTTGTAATACCACTTGTAATAGACTCGTTCTCACGATGTTCTCTGAACATTACAGGATATCCCTCTTCGTGAGAACCGGAACATAAAAAATTAAATTTTATGATGCATACAGAATAAGTCATTATTACTGTTTCTAAATAGTGTGATTTTTAAATTATCAATGAATTTCCATTAATTGATGAGTTCAATCGAGTTCAAAGGCTATTCCGTTAAATGAAAATTCTTGTCTTTTTGTCTTGTGCTTTTGCAGCTTCGCCTTGCTACTCGAAATAATGGTAGAAAATGTCCTTCCGGGTACAATTGTATCTGCTCTCTTTTCTCCGGTAAAAAAGGGGGAAGAAGAAAAAGCAACGACAAAAGTGTTAGTTGTCAGAGAGCTGTTTATTTTCAATTCGCAATGAAAAGAGGATTGCTTTCGCTTTCTGTACTTTCAGAATGAAAAGTATACGTATACTGGGAGTATCAAAGAAAACTGTATAGTAACCGAGATGTTCGCATCCCTATACAAACTCACCCCTCATTTTTACATGACCTCCCCGACTTATTATTCTTCGAGCAGAAAGGTTTTTATATTCATGATATGTTTCAAGCTCTCCCCAATGATTCCTCCCATCTACATGATATTGTGTTTGCATAGTTCCAGAATCAATTCTTTGTTATCGAAATACAGGATTCCATGATTTTTGAAAAATTGCCATTTACTCCATAGTAGCAAGATCTGGAATGTTGCCCAGCACCCAGATTTTTATCGATTTGATACAGAGTCAAACGATATGAGGAACTCCTAAAAGCCTTCTTGTGTTCATCGATTCGGCTTATTAGAGCAGAAGGAAAGCCAGATAGGATGGTATTTCGAGAACGGCTGTGAAAATCGCTCTAAAGTGAGGTTAAGTGGTAGACGTAATCACCTGGGTGGAACTCGGTCGGAAAAAAGAGATATCGAATACCCGAAAATAAAAATGTATTCTGAATACATGATATAATTATGATTCGCCATCCGCATCAATAGTCATTTACAATCTCTATATCATGTGAAACAGTCTACTCTATAGCACTAGTATGGGTATGGGTTTGAAATAGTGCAACATGTCAGGAATCTAGCGTTTTTCACATTGTTGAAGTAATTTTTCGAAGATATTTTGATCATGTAAATCTGTGACGAGACTGACAATGTGTCGTTATGTTCTGGGTCCCACGAAAAGGGATATCCTGTAATGTTCAGAGAACATCGTGAGAATTATGGGACATAAGGTAGGAATTGGTGTTCTTCCTGAATTTCTGGAGGTTATATGCCTCGGGAAACACCTCCCTTGGCAATGTGTTCCAGAGCCTCGCTGTTCGTTGAAAGAACGAGTTTTTGGAAAGAGATGTTCTGCAGGTCTCCAAAGTGACCACGAAGGGGTGCGAAGCCTCAACTCGACCGGTTAATCTCGCGGGGACTGCCAAGGGAGGAACAATCGTTGATATTTCAGAAGAGCATCGCCATGAAAATATCTATAAAATAGAGCCAGATCACCAACTTATCTACGATGTTCCAGAGAAGTGAGTTTGTGAGCGAGGCATCATCCACTAGACGAATTGTCCTATTTTGGACAGAATACAACAGTTTCAGGTTATGTTTGGGTGCTGCACTCCAAATATGGGAACAGTATTCCAGGACAGGTACCTTATAGATCATAAACAGCTGACTGAAAGTGAAATAGCTCCTGGCCAAAAACAGAAAACCAAGTTTTTGGGATGCATTTTTAGCAATTGATCTCACGTGATTTTCCCAAGAAAGGTTATTGCTGATAGTGATACCAAGCATTAAAATGGATGTCTTCAAAGGTATGGTCACTCCTGACAAGCTTATGTTGGGCACAGTGAGATCGGCTTTCCTAGAGAAAAGGCATGCTTGTGATTTGTTTGCATTGAAATCTACCAAGTTATTGGATCCCCATTCGAGAATTGTTGCCAAGTCCATATTTATGTTGTCAATATTACTCCCTCGTTTGTTTCTGATTTGCCTGAATGAAATATTAATACTAATATAAAGAAATCCGAACTACTTACTGAACTCCAGATACTCCAAATCTGGGGCAAAGAAGGGACGTTATACGTTATAGCGATTCCATCTCTACCTAGTTGTTCAACAACTCGAAATCACAATAAACTTCAACTGCCCCAAGATAAAGGTTAGGAACGACTCAGAAGGGCGTATTATAGAGAATATCCTCTATCGCGTGACCCAGCTCCAACCACAATTAGTACATATTGTTTGCCATTAATAACGTTTAAGGGGTAAGCAACGCGTGAAATATTGCCTAGCTCAGAAGTAAACAATCAAGTCGGCGCTAGCAAGAAATTGAAATTAATTTCACTGTATGTAGATGGAACATGAATCAGGTTGAGATTGGATCATGGGGCAAAAACTAATTCATACACGATAACTTTGATATACAGGGTGTTTCAAAATTACATAGAAACGTTTCAACTACATCAGATTCTAGGAACGAAAATAGTGAAAAAAGTTCATATACAGTGTCATTCATGAAGTCGGCATCATATGGGTGAAACTTTTAATAATAGTTTATTTCAAAATTTGACTTGGGCGTCAAGTTTTGCTTCAGAATAGATGAAAAATGGCCGACACTAACTTGTCGAGTTACATTTTTACAAATTATTCGCTGAAAATGAGTTTATTTGTTCGATTTTGAATGAGAAATGTTGTTTCTATTCCAATTCTACACATGTGTCTCAAATGTGAACGTCCTATTTTAGTTTCTGATATTTTTTATTTCTTCTAATTGTAACAACTTCTACAAAACTGTCCTGAACTTTGGTTAGATACGTGAAGTAGTTTGATGATATTTTGATAGATGACTATGGCATCATTTTAGTACTGAAAAAATCAATTTAAATAGATTTTGCATCTGAATGATAGACGATACATCAACTTTGCATCAAACATAACAGAAATTAGAAGCGGGGATTATTTTCTATTTCATTTATATTTAAGTTAGTAGCATGATAAAGATACTAGAATGAGGTAGTTTTGACATCAGTGTTAATTTATTCTAATATTACAGACATTTTGAAGAAATTGAGAAAGTATCAAGAACTAAAAATTGTTATGAAACGTTCAAATTCGAGACAATTGTGCAAAATTGGAATGGAAACAACTTTTTCTTCGTGAACTTTTTCGAAATTCGAACAAAAATATGACTTGACATGTAGCGGAAGACACGTGACTCCGACCAAGTAGGCCATTTTTCATCTTTTTTAAAGCACAAGTAGTGTTGTTCATGATCTTTCTGATTCTGATGAGAGTTTTCGAAAAATACGACCCAGAATGTCGAAATTATGACATTTATGAAGAAAGTTAACTTCCCAAGTCCGTTTCTGGATTTTTTTTCATAGTAGGCCATCTTATGGAGTGGAGTTGCTGGTCATTTTCAGACGATTACATCGAGACGTTCGTGAAATATCGTTCATCAAAGATTCGCCCCGAATTCAAATAATGCCCTGTATTTCTGCTACGAATAGGCGAAATATATGTCTTCACCTATATACAGGGTGTCCCAGAATTGCTGGGACACAGAGCTACCACGTATAGAAGAGGTCAAAATATGTGGATTGGACCCAATTTATTTATGTGCCAAAATGTACCGTTTGTCCGTGAGAAGGGTTCGAAGTTCACATAAAAAAGAAGGTTAAAACTACCCTCGCCCCTTGAAATTTTTTCAGAACTTTTTTAGGGGTCATAATATGGTTCTGACATTTTTTGAGCTTGAAGACTAATTAATTACCTTAATTTTATTGCTCTTGTGAAAATTTCCTAAACCGAATAGTTTCGAAGAAAAAAAAACTAAAACTTAGTTGGCAGTGGAACGAAGTCAAGTCGTGATTTTGACAGAAAACAAATTTATTGTCATTCAAGTTCGTTGTTGACGTTATCTGTACATGTTTCAATGAATTCTTCAGACAACAAGACAATATCTGAACGAATAATTTCCTGATAGATGTATTGGTAGGGGACAAGTAGCACCTATTAAATGGCCTCCGCAGTCTACAGATTTGAATCCGTGCGACTTCTTCATCTGGTGAGCGTTAAAAACACAAGTGTATGAAGTTCAAATTGATACTTTCGAACAACGGTGGACCAGAATCCAAAATGCCGTTGACGCACTACGACGATGTCCTAATAAGGAGCGTACATTTCAATTTTTTACGTCGAATTGATATTTGTTTTAATGAAGGTAGGCGTCATATTGAACATTTATCATGAAGAAACTTTCTGCTTTTGTTTCCACTGCCAACTAAGTTTTATATCACAATTTCATTAAACTTCTACTCTTGTACTATAGGAGTTTCTGGTAGCATTAATTAAGAGAAACTGCAGTATAGGAAATTTTTACAAGAGCAATAAAAAGAAGGTAATCGATGAGTCTTCAAGCTCAACAAATTTCAGAACCGTATTATGACCCCTAAAAAAGTTCTGAAAAAAATTTTAAGAGGTGAGGGTGGTTTTAACCCTTCTACAATTTCTTTCAAGTTTCTGCGAAAACCAAAAGGAAATCAACCCTCTGAAATACACTATTGCCAAATTTCATCAAATTCGTCTCACTTTTTTCTGAACAGCGTACAAAAATGTGTTTTTTTAAGTGAACTTCGAACCCTTCTCACGGACAAACGGTACAGGGTGATTCACCATAAATGTCCTCCCCCTCTAGCTCACTTATTTTTGAACCGATTTGAAAATTTGAAAAATTATCTAGAATGATTTTCCAGAAATTTTTTTCCCGTCGCATCAAAAAATAGAGGGTGATCGGAACAAACGATCTACAGAGTACTACTCGATTTTTTCAAATGGAACACCCTGTATTTCATTGTATTTTTTAGATTTTGCCTGAAGAGCTGATTTCATCAATACATCACACTTGGGGTCTAGCAGAAATAATTACAGAGATATAGGGTTTTCAAAATCGAGATTTTTCAGCTTCTGGATTTTTTTGTGTCGAAACTATTCATTATCGGTCAAAACGGCTTCAATGTCAACTTCTGATTTACTCTCTACTGAAATTTAATTGGAACAAATACAGTGTGGTTCAAGATTCAGAATTCTGATCACCCTGTATCTGTTCCAATTATTAAATGTCAGTAGATAGTGAATCAAAAGTTAAGATATGGACATGAAAGCCGTTTTGACGGATAATGAATAGTTTCGTCACAGAGAAATCCTAAAGTTGAAAAATCTCGATTTTGAACACCCTATATCTCTGTAATCATTGCCGCTAGACCCCAAGTGTGATACATTGATGAAATCAGCTCTTCAGGGAGAATATGAAAATACAATGAAATACAGGGTGTTCCATTTGAAAAATTCAAGTAGTACTCTGTAGATCGTTTGTTCCGAGCACCCTGTATTTTCTGATGCAACGGGAAAAAAATTTCTGAAAAATCATTTTAGATGATTTTTCAAATTTTGAAATCGGTTCAAAAATTAGTGAGCTAGAGGGGGGGACATTTATGGTGAATAACC